CGTAGGATCTGCAAATTTTTTTCGATTTCACTAGAAAGGTGAAAGCATTAAATTCAGTGCATGCTTGCAAATCCAGTGCATAACTCCGGACAAACACAGGCAAAGAAGCCCATGAGACAAGTGTTTTATAATAAGGGACTGGACTGAGCAAAAAAATGAAAAAAAAACATTATGCCTGCCCATGCTTCTATAGGTCACTACAAAACGGAGGTCCTAAAGTTTTCATCTGAAAGTTCCACGTATGCTCCTACAGAAGTTCGCGATGGGGATTAGTAAACTGTAATCAATAGAGCTGAAAGTGGCTTGTGTCAATGAAGCTTTTGCATGTAACTGTATTCTTTGTAGTGGGTCGCACAATTTTAACCACGAGCATTCAGGTGTGTGAATTGTTATCAAACTTGTTTTGCACCCACTCCGTGGTCTTAAGGAAATGCGCGCAGTAACACGTCTGTCTTTTGTAATAGGAGGCCAACTTTAAACCATGTCGTCCTTGTGATAGTCATGTGTTATGACGCCCGATAGCAACGTATGCTTGTGCTACACAATATTATCGGATAATACATGTTGTAGTGCGATGCGAGTGTACAGAACGTACAATTCGTTGAAGACTGCAGTTGTCAAGGTTTTTTTTATGGAATCGATATATAAGCAGATCTTGGCTCACAATTATGGCGCCGGATACTCCTTAGCCATTCAGTGAAACTTGAACACTTATCTTAAAAGAAAACATACAAAGCAGTGCACAGAAAATAGAACACTCGGGCACAGATGTGCAAAGACACACTTATACGCACATATCACAACAAAATGATAAGGAAATGTTCTAAAGAAAACGAATGAAGTCTCTGACAATGTCCCTCGTTAATATTAGGTCCAAACAGCATAAAAAAGCAGAGTACAAGTCTGGTTCTTATGAATATGTATTCGCTTGTGTGTACATAAAAGTCGACACGTCATTCATTTCACTACGCACACATAACGGGTGTCACAAGATACTGCACATAATAAGTACATGTGTTATACAAATGCCAGTTCGTTATTTCTTAGTACCAGTGAGCGATTCTCCCGTCTTGTAAAAAACGTGTTATTCCTTTTAAAATGTGCGACTGTAAAACTTCAGTTGGCCACAGGCCCAGAAGTTTTTTAATATTAGATGGTCTTCTGTCTAATGCCAACAGTTCCGATTTAAGACGGCGCCTTGGCGTGTCATGATATGGACAGTCTATGAGAAGGTGACATAAGTCTTCATCTATAAATCCGCATTCGCATTCGGTAGTTCCAGCTCTGCCAATACTATGCAAAAAATGTTTTGTGTATGCAGTGCCTAGCCTCAATCGGTGAACTACAGTTTCTATACTTCTAATGCCAGCGTAACTTTGAATTCAATAAATGCATCAATGTGATATAAATCACAGCTCTGTGTACTTTGGTCAAACCAAGCAGTTTTGGTCATTCTGAAAGCTGAAGTCTTTCAATACTACGCAATTATTTTTTTTGAAATTTGTAAAGAAACAGTAACGTCTTTATGATGTGCTTGTCATGCTGCTTCATCGGCAGCTGTGTTTCCAGGAATGTTGCAATGACCAGGTATCCACTGGAATTCGATTTCATAATGCGCCTTGTTTGCATTGGTGAGCTCCTTCAGCGTTTCGTATGTCATACTATCACTTATTACTGTCGTGTTTGTAGTGAAGAGTGATCTAACTGCGGCCTGTGAGTCGCTGAAAAGGACCCATTTTCTAGTATTTGCTGCCGAGTTTATAAACTTTATAGCATACAGAATAGCAAATGGTTCAGCGGTAGTATATGACTTCATGGAAGATTATTGAAATGATTCCTGGATACATAGCTGTGATATAATAAATGCCGATGCTAAAGACGTTGTAATACTTGAGCCATCTGTGTAAATGTGTATGTACCCTGGATACCGCATGTGTATTTGATAAAGCGATAGTTGTTGAGCAGCTTGGATGAACGCGTCTCTCTTGCTGATAATGCCATTCACTGATAATTCAATGCTTGGTATTGCAAGCAGCGATGGATGACAGTCCATTTCAGAGCTCTAAAATTCATTTCTCGTTAGTATGTGTACATTACTTTGTATTTCTTCATGAGCATTGCTTTTATCCCTTCGTATAATCGCCAATGCCAATAGGTGGTCCATGTGTTGCATCTGTAAGCGAAAAAAATGGCGGCATATTGCGATTGTTCACTTGATTGGAAAGGGTGGTTGTCGAGTCTCTGCTAGGGCAAGGCTGCTGGAAGTCGCTCGTGGAACACCTATGCAGACGTGCAGTCCCCTAGCTAATCGTCCTTGAAGTCGGTCCTCTGGAGTGCGGGAAAGGCCGTGTAAGCCTGATGCAGAGTATGCAACTTTTTGTCGTAATAAAGCACTGTGAACAGCGAGCATGGGTCATACAGATCCGCCCCTTGATGGCCCAGCAATTGTGCGGAGTATATTCACTAGCATATTCACCTCGTTTTCGAGTTTCTTTGTGTGAGGTGCCCGTGATAGCTTCCTATCAAATATTACTCGAAGAAACCGATGCTGTGCCACAATCATTAGTGGTTCTCCTTCTAAATTGAGATTGAAGTTTTTAACTTATTACGTGGGAAGCGAAATACGGCTGTACTTGCGTGCGACAGAATCATTCCTCTTTCTTTTAAAAAGTTGTTGATAAAATTTATGCCGTCTTGCAATGTAATCTGAATGAACCGTATGTCCGTTCCAGATGCCCAAATGCACACATCATCTGCGTATAAGGAGTATTTCAAACAGAAAGGCAGTTTTTTAGCTAAATAAGCCATAACACAGTTGAAAAGGAAAGGGCTGAGTACGCTTCCTTATGGCACTCCCTGTCTGACGTCATGTTCTTCACTCTTTCCTTCGCTCGTCTGAATGAATATTTTGCCACCTGATAAAATTTTAGATATCTACCACAAAGACCTGCCGGACAGTCCGAGTTCCAACATACTCAGCAGAACATGAGTGTGACTGACTGTGCGACTGTGTGACTATATTTTTGCGAAATTGTTTCGCAAAACCAGAAACTCACAGCTTATATAGCCACGTCCAATTCGTTAGCAGAGTCCCGAAGATCTGGTGTTGGTATTCTAGCTTAAAAAAGAATATTCTGTTGCCACAGTATATATTGGGATATTGAACAAGAGCACATGCTATCTGTTGGCAACGCATACTCAATCTCCGAGATAATAGATGAACCGAACAAGGCAGCACACCACACACGCAAGCTATCGAGATCTCTTGTACGTGGTTTCAAGAGTGATGTGATTCACGGAATCGCAAACGCCCAGGAACAGTGCCCATGATATAGCTAACCGGTACCCTTGCCAAGCCCGGCCCACCACAATGGTTTTGATCTTACGGTGACCGACTTTTTATTGTTAATAGTTCAAACGAATAACGACAGCTATATTTTCGTGCAAACAAACTTGCATATAGAACAATGGTGGCCGCCCGTCTCAGAGCACCAACTCTAAAACAAAACTGTTAGTATATTGCTTTTCACAGGGGCTTCATTCGTGTATTTCACACTGGTTGTGAAATATGCAATATCTTTAGAAATGTACACGTGAATACAAGAATTTGGTTTAGTTAGTCCCGTGTTTCAGGCGTAATAATATGAACAACAAGAGGACAAACTGTAGAATATCTTCACATTCATGGCAAGAAATGTAGAAGAACTGCAAAATAAGAAATCCCGCTCGGCCACTTCACTTCAATTTTGCTCCGGTAACACGAACAAATGCTTAAGTTTTACAGTGCGGATAAAAGGTACCACAAAAAGTAATTAGTTATTCATCAGGCTATTACCCTTTATTCATTGTTGTTGGAGCTGCACCGTTCTTTTGTGTAAACAAATTTATGTCCGTGATAATGTCTGCAAAGTCTTCTGAAAGCTTCTCTGCATGAATCACGCTGTATATCTGAAACACTTGGTAGCCTCCAGAGAAGGCATTGCGATGAGGCTAAAATAGTAAAGAAGAGATATTTATTTTACCTACTTTATCATGATAAATCTGTCTATCTATCTATCTCTTTATCTTTCTTTCTTTGTTTGCTTCGTACAGAAAAGAATATTCATAAAAAAGGTGAACTAAAGAGGGTTCATGTAACAGCATTCACATAAAACGCGAACAAAGCCACACAAAGAATTCCGTCTCCTAACATCATAGTTCTCATAAGGTGCTTTTACGTATCAGGTCACCCAAGCGATGTAGTTAGCTGATTGTTGAACAAGTTTTTAAATATGGCTGCTGCCTGAAAAAAAACATTGGTAATATGTGCGATAAAGAGCTTAGCAGTGCCTGCAGTGCCTTCGGGTCTCGAAAATACCTTTAACAATCTACTTCAAATACTTATCGACACTCTTGCGTTGAAGAATCAAGGAAATGCTCCTTCCACTTGCTCTCAAGCATAAGGTGCGGCACATTGTTTCCTTCAGCGTCTAGCTTAAATAACCTCAATAGAATACCGTGCGCGTACTAGCTATGGGAGGCGAAAAACATAGCATAACGTAGCAGCTCAATAACACGTGGATGGAAAAGAGTGTAAGATATTACAGAAAAATATCCGAGACCTACAGTGAACTACATTGATTAACTACAGTATATATTATATCAGCAAAGCACTGGAGTAGCCATGTTGTTTCAAAGTGACTTTGCACAGCTCGTGTTTTGTAGGGTTAAACACCACGTTTTAATCAGAAGATTCACATTCGAGAATAGCAACTCTCAGTAAACCTTTGATGCACGTGAACAAATAGGCCTGAACAAAATGTGTTATTTCATATTACTGTGGGTGTACTTATCGCATGGTAGTTTCTGCACGAATAAACCCAGAACTTGCTTATTTTATGCGCGTTCCACCTGAAGGGGGGAGAGGAAGTTTTGGCCTCCTTCAGCGTATAACTCTATATCCAGGCCGTACGGAGGGCAGAGAAGGTGACTACCGGGCTGAGTGAGGTGGATCTCCTACGTGCAAATAGATGACCGGCAAAAAACCTCTGTTCTCTCTCCTTAAATTCAATCATTGCAGTAGTAATAGGTCGGAACTTTTTAACGTACGCCTCACCTGTTGATAGTAGACGAGTGTTGTTTCCCCATGCCTGTGTATTTTCTGCAAAAACAAAATCACAACAACATTGATTTCAAGTGTAGAAATACGGTTAACACCCGATTGTCACCGTATGTGCGTATCAAGTGTGAACTGTCGAGTGACCGACGGGACTGGAAATACATTCCTCGAGTAACAATGCGTAAGTGAAGTCCCAAGTGCACCGAACACCAAAGTTATAGTTTTCAGAATGTACAGTGTTCTATATATGGCGTAGCCTGCACACTTTCCCATCAAGTGCTGGTTACTCCGTGGTTGCTCATTGCATCTGTGTTGCATCATTGCACACTAAAGCTTCCGTGTTGTTCAGCTGCATGAATAGACTGGTCTTAAGACAACATGTAATGCACTATTGCCCACTGCATCACCTCTGCGGTATGCCTTGCAAAAGCTCGAACAATGTTCGTGCTAGACAATGAATACGACCTTGGTGCATGGTGTGTTGCATGAACATTTCGGCATCCCGTAATTTACGGTCATCGATAGTGTGTTAGAAATGAAGCATAAACTTAATGGCTTGTTTCTTTCGTTAGACACACTATTTATAAGAAATAGAATAACTACAAAAACTGCGTGAAAAAAAGGCTGGAGCACAGAGGGAACATATACAAGTGCTTTTTGTTTTCGTAGGCCTTCTTTGTTTTTCTCTGAACCCAGCCTGGTGATCCTACGCTTATGTTATCCTGATCTATACCCAACAGACACGTGTAAAGCTTGCGGAGAAAGGGCCATACTGCAGCACATGCTTTTGGATAATGCTTAAAAAGTTAACGTCACTGCCACCGCTCCCTTCGCGACGCATTTTGAGCAGGGATGAAATTCGAGGCCAATTGCCGCTGCCACCACCGCGCGAGGGCGGGGGCAGGCCTCCGCCGCCGCTGTTGTCACTGTTGCCGATCGGCGGCGTCAGCTCCGCAGCCACTGGGAGGCAGCCCTCACAAGCGGTGAGCTGGCCGGCCAGCTCTGGGCCGTCCGGCAAGCTGAAGATGCCACCCGGGTGCAAGGACTTCGAGCGGTCACCTTAGGTGCCGCCAACATAATCAATGGAGAGTGGGAAAGGACAGGGTTTTTCCTCTTTGCTCACCTCACCCAGTAAAACAGCCGGACTTTAAATAAAGTCTATTCATTCATTTATTTATTCATTCATTCATTCATTCATTCATTCCCTGTGTAGCGATTCATTCATTCATTTCCCTTTGTTTCGGTGTCCCCAAAATCTGCGATCCACCCATCTTCACTGGCGCTGATGGCACTGACGTGGAGGACTGGCTCGCCATTTACGAGCGCGTGAGCGCCCCAAACAAATGGGACGAGGACAGCAGGCTGACTAACTTGGTATTCTATCTTACGGGTGTTGCCAGTTTGTGGTACAACAACCACGCGTCCTATTTTGCCACCTGGTCCCACTTTAATACCGCAATCGACTACGTCTTCAGCCACCCTGCTGTTCGCAAGCTGCAAGCCGAGCAGCGCTTACGTGATCGTGTTCAGGAGACTGGTCAGTCATTCACCAGCTATATTGAAGACGTCCTGGACCTATACAACAAATCTAATCATACCATGTCCGAGTCTGACAAGATCCGAAACATTACGAAAGGCATTGACGATGATGCCTTCACAATGCTGCTCGCCAAAATCCCCGGCACAGTGGCTGAGGTCATCACACTGTGCGAGAGCTACGAAGAGCTCCGCCGGCAGCGTTCGATGACCCGACGCTCCCCACCATGAGCTGCAACACTTGCTGGCTTGGAGGCCAGTAGTGACCAAGTGGCGTTGATGGCAGACCTAAGGTCCTTCATCCGTGAGAAAATCGCACGTCAGTTCTCGCTCCTGCCCTTTGCCCACCAACCAGCTGTTCAACAATCGGCTACTACCGTTCTCCTTCCCATCCATCGAGCGATCGAACAGGAAAAAGCAGAGATAATGCCTGCGTACTACCCCCCCCCCCCACAGCCTCCGGCTCCTGCGCCCCTGAGTTGCGCGCAAGTGGTCGCCAGGCCACCTCAAGTCGTTCCAGCACCCGCCCCTCTGACCTACGCCGAAGCTGCCACTCGACCTCCGTCCTTTGCAGCGGGTATGCCCGCTACGTATGTTGACGTAACCCCTCAGCCTCAGCTTCAGTCCACCATGCAGCAACCGTTCCGTCCATCGGCCCTTGCGACATGGGTGAGACCTACCTCGGTAAACAAATGGTGCACACCCGACAACCGGCCCATCTGCTTTGCCTGCGGTAACGCTGGTCACGTGGCCCGTTATTGCCAACGCATATAGCCGGCTCCAATTTCTTCACCTGTTGCTGGCCAACTCAGCCATCCTTATCGCGAAGAACCACCGTCTACGCCACTTCGGTCTCGCCCAGGTTCATCTCGAAGATCGCCGTCTCCACGACGTCGTTCCCTGTCCCCCATGCGGCCAAGTGCGGCTGCTCATGAGCGGAAAAACTAGCAGTCGCAGTCCCCGAGGCAAGGACCTCGACGCTATCGCAATGTGAAAGCCCTCAGAGCAGCCCCTCGAATGTCATTGACGTGCTTGTAGACGGTGTTTGTGCATCGGCTCTTACTGACACTGGAGCTGCTGTATCAGTTATGGACAAAAAACTCTGCCGCTTACTTCGAAAAGTGACGACGCCACTTTCTGGGTTGTCTCTCCGTACTGCAAGTTTGCATCGTATTCATCCTACAGCAGGGTGCACAGCTCGCGTTGTCATTCAGGACGTTCTGTATGTCGCCCAGTTCATCATCATTCCGGCATGCTCTCATGACGTCATCCTGAGATGGGACTTTCTCTCCCGCCATGACGCCGTCATCCATTGTGCCACCGCCGAAATTGAGCTCTCACCCTTCTCGCATTTGACGCCAGAAGACAGTTCCTCGACACTGAGCAAGATTCTAACAAAAGACGATACAACAGTGCCTCCGAACTCGACGACGGCTGTGTCTGTCTACTGCGCTGGTCTCTCCAACACCATTGCACTCGTTTCACCATCTGACCACGCTTGCAGCAGGAAAGGGTTGCTAGTACCTTTCGCGACGGTGCAGGTCAACCAGGGCAACGCTGCTATTTTTGTAACCAACCCGTCCCCGTACACTGTTACCTTGCTTCGAGGGGAATGTCTCGGCAGAGTGGAACCAGTCGACGGCGCACAAGTCCTGGAAGTACCCGATGACGTGCGCTGTCCCAGGTCGCGAACCATCAATGCTGTTTTCACTTCTGATTCGTTATTTGATGGTGTATTTGGCCCCTCTATCGCTGACAACCTTACGGTCGTACAGCGTTCCCAACTTCTGGACCTGTTGCAAGAATATCGTTCTTCTTTCGATGTCGGGCGAAGTCCTCTCGGTCACACGTCCGCTGTTACGCATCGCATCGACACTGGTGCCCATCCATCTTTACGGCAACGTCAATATCGCGTGTCGCCTGCTGAACGTTGAGTAATTAATGAGCAGGTTGACGATATGCTCCGACGCGACGTTATTCGGCCCTCGAACAGTCCTTGGGCGTCTCCTGTTGTTCTTGTTGCGAAGAAAGACGGTTCTGTGTGAACTACAGACGGCTCAATAAGATCACTCGCAAGGAAGTTTATCCACTGCCACGCATCGATGACGTGATTGAGAGCCTTCATGAAGCCGATTTTTTTTCTTCTCTCGATCTGCGCTCGGGGTACTGGCAAGAACCCATGGCTCACGACGCTCGACCAAAGACCGCCTTCGTTACGCCAGACGGCTTGTACGAGTTCAACGTCATGTCATTTGGTCTATGTAATGCACCTGCAACATTCGAGCGCATGATGGACACCGTTCTGCGCAACTTGAAATGGTACACGTGCTTGTGTTACCTAGACGATATTATTGTCTTTGCTCCGGATTTCTCCACGCATCTCCAACGTCTGAAAGAAGTTTTCGCACGTGTGAGCGATGCCGGCTTGCAAATAAATCTTAAAAAGTGCCGCTTTGCAGCACGGTAACTCACCATACTGGGCTACGTCGGGTCCAAGACGGCATTCTTCCTGATCCTGCCAAGCTTCAGGCCGAGGCCGAATTCCCTAAACCTGCATCTGTCAAAGAACTGCGTAATTTCGAGGGCGTGTGCCCATACTTCTGATGCTTCATACGAAACTGTGCCACGATCATATCACCACTGACGAAGCTCCTTGGATGTAACGGGCCCCTCAATTTGTGGTCATCCGAGTGCGACGACGTGTTCGCGAAGCTCCGCCATTTGTCGACGTCGCCTCCCATTCTACGCCACTACGACCCTACAGCCCCAACGGAGGTGCACACGGACGCCAGCGGTGTAGGCCTCGGCGCTGTCCTGGCGCAGAGAAAACCCGGATTCTCTGAGTATGTCGTAGCATATGCAAGCCGTACGCTCATGAGAGCCGAGACAAACTACACCGTCACGGAGAAAGAATGCCTGGCGATTGTCTGGGCACTTACAAAGTTTTGACCTTATTTGTAAGGTCGCCCATTCGATGTCGTCACCGACCATCATGCACTATGCTGGCTTTCATCGTTGAAGGATCCCTCAGGCCGTCTCGCCCGTTGGGGTCTTCGCTTACAAGACTACGACATCCGTTTGCTGTACCGCAACGGACATCAGCATGCTGACGCTGATGCCCTCTCACGCTCCCCTCTACCTCGAGATGGCGTGCCCTGCTCAGTAACCTCAATTGCTGCATCTGCCATCGATGTTGACATTCTCGCTACCGAACAGCGAAAGGATAATTGGATTGCCCCGCTGATCGACTTGCTCTCTCATCCGTCCGCCACACCATTCACGCGTGCCTTGCGTCGTCGAGCTCACCATTTCGCCATCCTTGACGGCCTCCTACATCGACGCAATTACAACTCCGATGGCCGGCAGTGGTTACTCGTCATACCCTGCTGTCTGCTGTTGGAAATTTGTGAATCTTTCCATTCTGATCCGCAATGTGCGCACTCTGGGGCATCCAAAACTTACCAGCGCATTCGACAACGCTACTTCTGGTGCGGGATGTACCGCTA